AAAAGTTTTTTGATTTATTTATTTTTATGTTATGTGTATGAGTATTTTGCCTGCATTTATGTAAGTACACCATGTACATGCAATGCCCATGGAGGTCAAAAGAGGGTGTTGCATCCTCTGGAACCGGAGTTAAGGACAGTTGTTGGCCACCATGTGGATGCTGGGAACCAAACCCAGGCAGTGCCATCTCTCCACCCCCACAACATGTGATTTGGGGGTAAAATATTTATGGTAGTGCACACCTTTAATCCCAGCCCTCGGGAGGCAGAGGCAGGCAGATCTCTGTGTGATTGAGACCAGTCGGGTCTCCATGATGAGTTCCAGGCCAGCTGTGGCTATAGGGAAACCCTGCATCAAAAAAAGGCCCCCCCCAAAAAAAATTGTCATACATGGAAGTGGACACTTAAGGACATAAGACTCTATGAATAAGAGCCAGTAAAACAGCTGAGCATAAAAACACGAGTTATGGCCATAGTGACTGAACAGTGTGTCCTAAGGCCACATCATCGCTCTTCTGTATAAAATTGTTTTCTTTGGGAAAATGTAGTTATTGCCCATTAAAATGTGTTTTATGATAGCATGGGCTTATCATTTTTTTTTTCTTTTCTTTTTGAGACAAGGTCTTCCTGTAGACTTAGCTGACCTAGAACTCACTATATAGTCCAGGCTGGTCTCCATCTCATAGAGATCCACCTGCCCAGGTGCTGGGATTAAAGGTATGCACCACCACACGGGGCTTATCATTGTTTTTCAAAGAAGTTCTTTTTTTTTTTTTTTTTTTTGTCTTTTTGAGAAAGGGTCTCCTTGTAGCCCCAGCTGTCCTGGAACTCATTATGTAGACCAGACTGGCCTTGAACTCACAAAGATCCACCTGCCTCTGCCTCCCAAGTGCTGGGATTAAACGCGTGTGCCACCAAGCCCAGCTAGAAGTTCATATTTTTATATCTCTCAGTTTTAATTTCTTTTTTTAAATTTATTTTTATGTGTTTGGGTGTATTGCCTGTATGTATATAAGTGGACCTGTGTCCTGCAGTGCCCTAAGAGGTCAGAAGAGGGTGTCGAATTCACCTGGAACTGGAGTTACAGACTATTGTTGGCTACCATGTGGGTGCTGGGAATCAAGACCAGCCGGGGCTGTTAACTGCTAAGGCATATCTCCAGCCCCAGTTTAAGTTTTAACGTTTAATTAAATAAATGTGAATAACTGTGGGGTCCTTGGTAATTTAAAAGTATAAAATATTCTGAACCTCCCCTCCAATTTGAGAGTCACCATAATGAAATAGCAAGTATGTTTTATACTTACAAATATTTTCTATATAGGAAAATGATTCTGGTGACAGTGAAAAGTGGATTTTAAAATGGCATGCTCAGTAATCATTCTATGGAAAATTATAAAAAGCATTGGTTGTGGCCTCACATCTTCATGGGTATATTTGGTCAAAGATTTCAAAAGCAAACGCACGCACTGAGTAGGTCTGGCTTGTTGGGTGTCTGGTGGGTTGTGGTTTATTTGCACTGCTTTTGTAGTAGCATATTATAGGATAGACACGTTTCACTTACAGTTGTATGGTTCAGTAGAATCATCCATGCTAACAGAAACAATGTTTGGTGGCGTTTCTATGTCACTTGTCTTTAAAATTAGTTACCTAGGAGCTTCAAAGGATATACATATATATATACTTTTTTTTTTTTTGGTCTTTTTGAGACAGGGTCTCCCTGTAGCCCCAGCTGTCCTGAAACTCACTATGTAGACCAGGGTGGCCTTGGATATTTTTGTTTTTAAATCATATTTGCTAAGCTGATTAAATCAGTTTGCATTACATAAGTATAATGCAACAGCTAGAAGTTACATGTCTGAAAACCATAAGAAATCCAGTGGGGATTAGCAGATCATCATGAATTATTTGAAACAGGGACATGTGAAGTTGTAAAGATCTGATTATATTTTAATTTTCTTCGTAAAATTTTATTTACATGAGTGTGGAGAGGAGGGAGTAGGTCTGAATATAACCCAAATTTATTGTATGAAATTCTTGAATCAATAACATTTCTCTTAAACGTAAAAAAAACAGGGGTTGGGGATTTAGCTCAGTGGTAGAGCGCTTAAGGCCCTGGGTTTGGTCCTCGGCTCCGGGAAAAAAAAAAAGACAAAAAACCCCCACATATTTTGTTTTATATGTTTTTAGGAAATGACTATACCCTGGTGTTTAAGGAGAGCAGAACTGGTGTTCAAGTGTGTCAAAGGTAAGCATAACCTGTGCTTAACACCTACCTTGTGACTCTCCTCCCCATCAGTGACAGACGACCAAACCAAGAGAGAGCCTGGTGCCTCAGTTAAATAGTTAAATAGCAAATATTTCATAACGGACTTTGTAATCTTTTGCCAGTCACAGAATAAACCAAGCTCTAGCCATCCTGAAGTGTAAGGGTGTTTGGATTCTGTACTAGTTACATCACATGGTGCTGTAGCAAAATACCTGACAAAAGCAGTAAGGAAGGAAGGGCTGCTCGTGGTTCACACTGGCCTGCAGTCCGTCTTGGTAAGGAAGGCGTGCAGTAGGACCGGGACACATTGGTCACATTCTGTCTACAGTCACCAGATAGAGGGCAATGCTGGGGCTCAGTAGTTCTCTCCTCTTCATTTCAGTACAGTACCCTGGCCCATGAGATGGTGCCGCCCACATCTAGGGTGGGTCATCCTACCTCAGTTAACCTAAACCAGACATGCCCAGAAATTTGTCTCCAAGGCGATTCTAGATCCTGTCAAGTTGACATTAGTGTAAACCACCACAGATGTTACTTAGATTTTGCGCTGATTCTAGCTTACTCTTGATTACCTTTTATTTTCTTCAGAGAGAAAAATAGAGCCATATATCTAATTAACGTTCCATAATCTGTTTTAGCTTCATTGTATGAAGGCCAAGCCAGCCATTGAGCATGTTGACAAAACTGTGCAGCCTGTCTGGTATAGAGAATCAGGGAGTACAGACATTTGTCTACCCCAAACGCTTAGCCTTTCCTCTACAGGAACAAGTGGCTACCACAAAGGTCAAGACATGAGGCGGCACAATGAAAATCCAGTTCATCTTAGTGAGTGAGTGGCAGGGTGGAAGGTCAACACTCACAACAGCGGTCTGTTCTGTTTTAGGTTTCATGATGGAAATGGCTTCATGGGATGGAGGAATTTCTAGGACAGTGCAATTTCTGGTACCACAGGTGTGTTATCTGACTTGATCCCACTTCAATTTAATGTCTTTTAAATATTCCTCATAGGTGCAGCTAAGTGTATGCCCCTAAACTCCTCAGTGTAATGTAAAATACTAACAGCTTCCCAGTTTTATAGGGAGAAGTATTTGGATGACATGCAAGCATTTAATGGATTGTTAAAGACCTGAACACCTACTACTGCTTTATAGATCTTTAATTTAACCTCCAAACCAAACTTGACTCATCTTTCCTCTGTTTCCATAATTCTGTTATGAAGATTATAAAAGAATATTAGCATAAAATGGTTCTGAATTCTGTATAGAATTTAGCAAGATTAGTGGAATTTATTTCTTATTACACTGGTGTTATCTTTGGAGTTTTCTAGTAATCAGATTTATTACTTGACAGAGACAACATAAGTTCCCAGAAGAATGGAACTAGAAAAACAGCCCCAATCCATAGTTGTGCAATTAAATCAATCATGAAATGTATTTTTCACATTATATTCCATATCTAGAACTAGGCCTGTATTTTAAAATATTTAAAAAATTAGAAGCATCAGTGGTGATTTAACAAGTGCAAACTTTTTTTTCTTGTTCTTCACCTCACAGAGTATTTCTGAAGAAATGTTTTATCAACTGAGCAACATGCTCCCCCAGATCTTCCGAGTCTCCTCAACGCTCACTCTGACATCCAAGCACTAAACCCTTATAGCCTGTCACATGGGCAGAAGAGGATTGCTAAACTCTCCAGGAACTTGAGCTATGCTGGAATCCTGTCAAGCAGAAGATGCCCAGCAAAACCTGCAACCTAAGCCACTCATCAGCTCATGATGTACGTTTGTTAAACAGTTCAAAAACGTATGTACCCCACAGTGGTCAGGCCCTAATGGAAACATTTATTCAGAAAGTCCCTTCGTAAAATAGTGCCTCTTTTTCCACTTTTATGTCCTGTTGGTGAATATTAATAAGCTAAAATTTACTGTTTACTAAACATAGACACTTACCAGAGGCTATTCATTACATTTCATGGGAACCTTTGACTTTTCCAGAAGATAGGGACCATATATGTGGTACAAGTGTAGGCATACAAATAAAATCTTCCTTTTACTTTATTTGCCAAATCAAAATGTAAATACACATTGCAAGTATAAGTTTCTTGTGAAAATGTTTTTGTAGCAGTATAAATACATGAGACAAGTGTGATTGTTATTTTAAATTCTCCTGTTTCAAACCCTAGCTTTGAATTTACTCTTTCTAAGGTTATATAAGTTAGAGTCAAAAAAGGCTTTGAATTCTTTACCTCTGTCTCATTTTCCCTCTGTGACCTTGCCCTTGTCTATTAATAACATTTCATGGCCTAGGAAAATAGTATTCTTTTTTGCAAACCTGATGTAAATTTAGTCTAAACCAGCACCTGGCAGCATTTTAGTGTTAGGAATCATTGTGACAATTGGACAGTGGGAGTCATTTCATTTCATTTCTCTAGTCTCCCCATATTCTTGGGTTTCCTTAATTGTTCACCCCACCCTGTATTTCATTGCAGAGACGGTACCCAAACTTCTGTGTCTGCTCTTTATCTTCCTTTACCAAATTGACTGTTCTCAGATGCTGCTTAGATAACGTTTGCCAAGACTTTTTAAAGAGGAATTTCTAATAGTACGTAGACATCTGTAAAGCAATAGCTTCATCAGATTCAAATAATATAGATGTTGTAACCAGTCAGTAGAATGAAATGGAAGACTTTAAGTGTCATGATAAAGTGGTATAACTTGATTGCAAGAAAAGAAAAAAAAAGCACTCTATTAATATGCCTAAATGAAAGACCTACGATAGATGCTCTGTTGACATGCAGAATGCTTTTTGACAGCAGAATGCTTCTTGATTTTCTACTCAATGAAGAGATGTATCCAACTAACACTAAGAACACTCCATTCCACCTCTATGTCCATTGGTCACTAAAATTTCCAAGTTTTTTTGCCAGAGACCTTGGTACTACCATGCACCTTGAGGAAATTGTCTTTCAAACACTACTGCTCTCGTTGAAATTGATTCAGGGCAGTGCAGGGCAGACAGGCAGAAACCAGGGATAGAGAGCAGTATCGGAGACCATTTCTGTTCTTAAACTGACAGGTTTACTTGGAGGTGGCGTATGGGATCAACAAAAAACATTCAGGGCTGGGAGTGTAGCTCTGTGATATGGGGCTTGTTTAGCATGAGTGGACCCCAGCCAGGCATGGGAGTATTCAAAAAGAGACCTCAAGATCTTGCCATAGATTCTGTGGGTTGTAAGTCATCAATAGTTTGAAGGGCAGTGCATCCAGCTGTCAGCCTGTAGGAACAGTTTCATTTACAGAAGTTTGGTAAACACTGCTAATCAATTCTTTTTGTCACCCCAAGGCTGTTTTATTAAGACTCCTGTAACCTGGGACTTTGACCTAATGGCAGTTTAAAGGTACTATTTGACTTATAAAATCAAGGTAAATTTATTACCCATTTTTTCAGTTGGTTCTGTATTATAAAATACGCAGCAGCAGTAAGATAGGAAAAATTGTGCCTACCATGTAATACATCAGTGATGAAAACATCAAAAGTCAAGTCAGTCATAAATACATCACTTAAGACACTAAGTATATGTGATTAAATGCTGAGAAAGTTGTGCTTTTTTTTGTTGTTTTTGTTTTTGTTTTTTGGTCTTTTTGAAACAGGTCTCCCTGTAGCCCCAGCTGTCCTGGAACTCACTGTGTAGACCAGGCTGGCCTCAAACTCACAGAGGTCCGCCTGCCTCTGCCTCCCGAGTGCTGGGACTAAAGGCATGTGCCACCACGCCCCGGCAAATGCTGAGAATTTTAATCATGCAGTAATTAGTCTGGGATTTTGTATTTGAGCCAAGAAGGAAGAGATTATGATCTTTTTCTGAGGCCTCTTTTCGGTTTAGTAAGATTTATTTTGAGGGGCTGGAGAGATGGCTCAGCGGTTAAGAGCACTAGCTGTTCTTGCAGAGGACCAGGGTTCAAATCCCAGCACCCACATGGCAGCTAACAACCATCTGTGACTCCAGTTCCAGGGGATCCAGTGTATTCTTCTGACCTCCATGGGCATTGCACGACACGGTGCACTTACATACGTGCAGGCAATACACTCATACACATAAAATAAAAACAATAAAATATTTAAAATAAATTAAGATTTATTTTGCTCACTGTATCAGAAGTTTCAGACTATGATGCTTGACCCTGGTGCTCAAGCCTGTGGTAGCACAGCACACTATGGTGGGAGTGTGGTCAGAGAGGCCTGCTCACTTCAGGGCAGCTGGGAAGCAAAGGAAGGAAGAAACTGGGCCAAGTATCCTTGAAAGGTACACCCCCAGTAGCCTAACTTCCTTTGATCAGGCCACACTGAAAGGTTCTACCACCTCCCAAGGGTGACAGAGGGTGGGAACCAAACCTTCAACACATAGGCCTTTGGGGAACACTCCAGATTCAAATCATAACAAATATGAAGAATATGCTGCAGCAGGCTGAGAATAAACAGGGCATCGAACATTCTAGGTGCTGCAGATTGAGCAATAATGAGCAGCTGGCATGCTGAGAGAAGCCGACTTCAAGTCTTTGGTAGTGGTGGTGGTGGTGTGCTTAACATAATGCAGTTAAGGAATGGCCTGAGTTTTCTGTTTGTACAAACAGTTGAATGTTCCTAAGATAGATGGCACTGAGGTCCTCAGGGCCCTCAAACTATGCTTTGGAAAAGAGACCAGAGTGCCGAGCGGAGACCTCCATTCTTCACTGCTCCTCCCTCCCCTCCCCACCTGTTCCCAAAGCACCAAGTGAAACCCAGGGAGGCTATAACCTTTCCATTGATCTAGAAGTGTGGCGCCAGCTGTGCCTCAGCGTGACACTGGGACCAAAATGGAAGAAACGCATGGAAAGGAATTTCAGCAGAAGAAACTGGCCTGCCCGGAGCCGGCAGTTCTGTTGTTGGCATGGCACACACCGTCCTTTATGTCACTTCAGTTAGATCCTGCTTCTCGCAAGAAGGAAACTCTTTCCATACAGAAACTTCTTGTTCTCAAAGTCCCAAGGGAGAAGCCTCAGGGCTGTGCAGACAGCCTAGTAATTGGAGCGACTTTGCAGTTTCTGTTGAAAATGTTTGCTTTTCTGTGACTTCATTTTCCTGTTCAAATTGGACTGTCTTGCCCAAAAGTCCCAATAGCAATGTAAAATTCATCATCATAAATGTGAAATAATAAAAGGATCATCTTATAACACCTGTTTTCAAAAATGCCATGTCTTCAGAACCACTTAAAGTAGCGGTTTTCTGTCCTTTAACCACATAGGAACTTTTCTACTAGTTTCCCCATATGCTCTGAAATGTTCTGAAAACTTAGCAAGCAGTTGGAATTATTTAAGCAGACTGCTTTGTGTTTAGACTTGTCTATGGAGGCGAAGTTCTGATTACCAAATGAAATATAGTATTGCATAGGGTTATCTGTGTAGTATCTCCATGTCCTATTATAAAGTAGATGTATCATTATATAATTTCTGGCAGTTTCACAAAATCAAAAGGACAGCCTTGGCATTTGGTTTAACCTGTGGGGTCTTGTCCAAGTGAAAATTTCTTTGAAGACTGTGAAAATAGCTCATTGACAACTTAAAGCCCACTAATGCATGAAACCCCAGTGGGCACCACAGTTGTGGGCAGAAGTACTAGGAATAGAAGAGTTGCTTTTCTTTTTTTTATTTAGATTTTTCCATGTTTTGAGAATTTCATACGTGAGTGCTGGATTTACATCATTTCCATCCCCCCCCAACTCCTATGCCCCTCCCCCGATATCTATTTAGTGTTGCTCCTATGTCCATGTGTTCAGGGCTGAGCACTTGGGATTGGATGACCTATCAGGGAGAAAACTGCTTCTCTCTCTCTCAGCATCCTTTGATTGCTTGTAGTTCTTCATCTAGAGGAGGGACCTTGTGCCCCATCCACATCGGCATGTCAACTGGTGTCGTTATTCTGATCTTGTGTAGGCAGCCATATTGCTGAAATTCCATGGGTGCAGCTTCCCTGTCGTGTCTAGAAGTCACTCCCTAGCAGCAGGCATCTGGGTCCTCTCCTTCTCTACTGAGGATCCTTGAAGATCCAGTATGCACTTGTTACATCCTGTTCAAATACGCACAGCTCACCTTATTCCTACACACTTTGGATGTCTCTCGCTGCACGCCTCCTGTTTTCCCACAGTCATTGGTTCCTAGTCCGCGCAGTCTGGCTCTGCTTCATGCCATATACAATCCATTCACTTTAATCACAGATTCCACATTTATGAATCTACCTACTTACTCCAAAGGTAACCAATGATGGGGACTAGGGATATGGCCTCATCTGACTCTGTGCACATTCACAGAGGGTGTGCACACATCACACATACACCACACAGAAGGTAACCAACAAAGGCATTTATAATCATGGGGCTGGAGAGATGGCTCAGCGATTAAGAGCTCTGGTCGCTCTTACAGAAACCCCAGATGTGAATCCCAGCACCCACATGATGGCTAACAATTGTCTATAATTCTAGTTACAGGGGATCTGACTCCCTCTTCTGGCCTCCACAGGCACTACACGATACGGCTGCACTTAATATATGTAGGCATAGCACACATAAAATCTTTAAAAAATTAGAATTTAAAAACAATCATTTACAAAAGCAATAGTTTCATCAAATCCATATATGTATAGTAAGTTTTCAGTGAAAATATATACTTTTGGTCATTAGTGAACATTCAGAGTGACCAAAAAATTGCTTTGCTCAATATACACAAACCTAGGTCCTGTATGTAGAGTGATGCTTTGCTGCCTTGTTTGATCTCAGAATGGAAACAAGCACTTGTGTGGTCTGTTTAGTGCCATGGCTTTTGCTTTTGTGTGCTTTTATTTAGTTTGCTATTTTAAATGGCCCAAAAGCACAGTGCTGAAGTGCTGTGTAACGTTCGTTCGTAAGTGCCGGAAAGTTGTGATGTACTTTATAGAGAAAATACGTGCGAAATACACTTCATCAAGCATAGGATATGCTGTTGGCCGAGGCTTCAATGTTAATGAATCAGTTTAATACATATTAAATAAAATGTCTTTAAAACAGTAAAACAGAGAGACAAAGTTATGTGCTGATCAGCTAATGAAAACGTGTCCAGATGGAAACATAATGTATTTCTCAAGAAGTG